ACGAAGGACACTTCGTACCAATCCGATGGGTCCAACACCCCCGCGGCCCTGCACTCCGGTACGCTGGCACCTCGAGATCTACATCTCGCCACGTCACTCCCGTCCCATCCCGACCTGCCTCGCCAGGCACCCGCATCCCCCAACCTGTCGCCAGTACAGGTCAAACGCGAGGAGATCCCTATCTCCCTCGAGGAACTGAGGCAGTCGCACAGCCTTCAGCGACCCCTCAAGCGATCCCTCAGCCCTCCTTGGGGCCGCGGCTGGAAAGGCCTCCCAAGACCGAGCCCCGCGACACTCCGCCGCATTCTTGGGCCAGCTCGTCGTCAGCGGTCACCGCCTCGACTTCAGTCCCTGTCCTACGTCACCCCGCCTCCGGGCTTCCTCAACCGGCTTCACTGCCGTCGCCGCCGCGAGGCCGCTCAAGCACTCGTTCCTCGAGAAGTCCGCCCGGCGGACAGTCACAACAGTCGCCTCCGTCCGCGGGCAGTCCTTCGTCCCCCTCGTCGCCGATAATGTCGTCCCCCGCAGCCGTCCTCGACAAGGAGACATTGAAGCTCCTCCTCCCCCTCCGCTATGACGGCAAAACCGTCATCGACTGCGACAGGTTCTTGTCGCAGCTACGCATCTACTGGATGGTCAACACGTCGTTGACCACCATCGAGCTCAAAGTCCAGGTTGCGCTAAGCCTGCTCGACGGTGATGCCCGCGCCTGGGCCACCCCCTACTTCGCCCAGCTCATGTCAGTGCAGATAGGGGTGCAAGGGGCTACGACCCCGTTCGCAAACGAAGCGGCCTTTGCCGCCGCCTTCAAGGCCCGCTTCGGAAATCTCGACGACGAAGCGGCAGCACAAGTAGAGCTGGCGAAGCTCTGCGCGGACAAATCGGTCCGTGAAAAACGCACCGCTGCGGAGTTCTCCGCGCTGTTCAAGGGTCCGGCGGATCGTTCTGGGTATGGGGACCTGGAGCTACGCGACAAGTACCTGAGCGGCATCCCCTCCCGCGTCTACCGAAAGATCGAGCTCGAGACTTTCACCACGTGGCAAGACGCTGACAAGCGCGCCACAGAAGTCGAGCAGATCCTCGACATTAGCCGGGCCCGTCGGCCCGAGCTAAATAACTTCTTCTCGGCCCGAGGTCGAGGACGCGGTGGGGCACGTGGTGGTGCACCCTCAACGCACGCAGCTTCGGCCAGCATCAATGCGGCCGTCGGAAAAGGCAACTTCCCCGGCACATGCTTCGGCTGTGGGAAGCAAGGGTACCGACGCTTCGAGTGCCCCAATTGTAAGGACAAGCCTTACACAAAACGCGCCGACGCGCGGGCTACGGTTGCCTCGGGTTCCACCCAGGCGGCGACAAGCGCCCTTGTCACGACAACACCCTCGGCAAGTATAAGTGCCGCTTCAGCGAAATCCGAGCAATCGGAGCTGGCGGACTTAATGGCACAGGTGAAGTCGATGCGTGAAGAGCTCGAGCATTATCGGGCGATGAAGGAGGAGGGTTTTTGATCCGGTCCGCGCTTCGTGCCGCACGCGTCGGGCCGCGAGTATCATCATGTAATAAGTATAACGTATTATCGACTGCAATGGTGTACGAGCTGGACCAGGGGTCCCAGCATTTTCACATTCCAGTTCGACTCCAGGGGAAAAGACGGCACAAAGACATAATCGCTATGGTGGACAGCGGAGCCACCACAAAGTTTATCAACAAGCGATTCATCGTAGAAAATAAGGTGCAGACGCGGAAGTTGAAGGAACCCATTCCGCTGTATAATATTGACGGCACCCTAAACAAGGACGGAAGCATCTCAGAGGTAGCAGTGCTACAGATGCATATAGGAGAACACGTCGAGAAGACGGTGTTCAAGGTCACGGACATCGGTCCAGAGGATGTGATCGTCGGGTTGGATTGGCTACGCGAGCACAACCCCGAAATAGATTGGGAAAAGGGATCCCTCCAATTGTCGCGATGCCCTGAAACGTGTAGCGCCAGGAGGACTGGCCAAATGGAGCAAGCAGCGACTGCGCGTGATACGGGGGACAGGCCCACGGCGCGCAGGCGTTCGCCGAAGTCCAAACGGTCGGTTATAGGTGCCTGCCGGAGTAAGGTACTCCCGGACTTCGAACCCGAAGAAGATCCGGTGGAGGTAGAGTGGGATGAGGCCGATTTGATCGAAGCCTGGGAGCAAGGTGTCACGCTTCCCGGTGCT